TTCGATAACCGAAATTGAGCATAAATTTTGATCGATTTCAATTTAAAATTGAAAACACCCTTAATTCTTGCGTTTGTATTTAAAATCCAAAAGTGCTCAAAGTTGTATTTTCGTGTGAGGATTATCTGGCTGGACAAAACGTGCAAGTGTAATGAACAGTGTTTTAACACAGAGCTTATTATTTGCAATCTTCGAAAAGCCTATGGGAAAATCCCATAGGGATTTTCACGAGGGAACCAGTTTTATGCTAGCAGCCGATTAGCCTACAAAGTGACCTCATAGTTCCTCCACTCTATAGCACTCCCTATTTTATTCTTTAATGATCTGTTTGTCCTGCTTCTTTGTTCATTTAAAAAAAAGAACACAAATACACACACTGCTAAAATAACTAAGACTTGTCACTGCATCTACAACTTGTTGTTTTCTGAGGATCTGAAGTGCTTCTATTATCTTCATGCTTTGGATAAAAGCATCTGCTAAATGTAAATCTATTTTAAAGTTCAGTCATAGCAATGGAAAACAAAGACATCTGATTTTTGATTTGGTGTGTGTACTCATTTTATAAGCCACAGTCAGTGTTATCAGGAGTGTTGAATTGAATGAATTACTATTAGGTAGGGCTGTGCAATTAATCCAAAATCCAGTTTCAGTTTGGCTTCAAACCATTTTGAAAAAGCATTAATCGAGATAAACGATTATTGCATCATATACCGCACCCTTTCCAGCTGTACACATTTGTTGCTCTCAAAAGCGCAAAAGACCGCGTGCCGGTCAGCATTCGCACGCTGAGACGAGCACAGGAGCGCAGACATCTAAAGTCATCTTAATGTGAGTGCTTTAATGGTCAAATAGGTGTCAAAACGCGGTGTTTAGTGATTATTCAGATTAACCCTCATTTGTGTAATAAACAAACGAGTTGAGAATCAAAAGACACGTAAAAGAGAAACCATTAAAGTGACACCGCGAAAAATTCCTGCTGCCGCCTGTTTTTATCATTAATCAAACAACAAGTAGAAAATCCCTCTCTGCTCTTGACTGAAGAATTTTCGTAGCTAAAGTGTTTTTCTAAGGGTTAAAGCACAGTTTGTTTTATATTTTTATTCTATTGTATTTAGTTCTCTTTCCTTTGCAGGGTGGAAAATAACTGTATGTATACTGTTGAAGTCAGAATTATTAGCCCTCCTGAATATTAGCAACCCTTTTCCTGCCCAATTTCTGTTTCATGGAAAGTTTTTTTTTTTTTTTTACTTATTTCTAAACGTAATAGTTTTAATAACTCATTTCTAATTTCTGATTTCTTTTATCTTTGCTATTATGACAGTACATAATATTTTACTAGATATTTTTCAAAATACAAGCATTCAGATTAAAGTGCAATTCAAAGGCTTAATTAGAGTAATTAGGCAAGTCATTGTATAACAGTAGTTTCTTCTGCAGACAATCAAAAAATATATTGCTTAAGGGGGCTAAAACTATTGACCTTAAAATGGGTTTCAAAATATTTAAACCTGCTTTTATTCTAGCTAAAATAAAATAAGCCTGGAAGAAAAAATATTATAGGAAATACTGTTAAAATTCATTGCTTTGTTAAACATAATTTGGGAAATATTTATTTTAAAAAAATTCTCAGGAGCGCTTATAATTTTGACTTCAACTGATAATCGTTTGGAATAATCGTGATTACAAATTATGACCAAAATAATCGTGATTATGATTTTTCCCAAAATCGAGCAGCCCTACTATTAAGTAATAAGTATTACTCTAAGATGAATAATATTTTTTTTTTACCTGCATTGCCTCTGAAAATAAAAACAAGCGATGAAAATCCCTGAAGATGTCTACTGTGGATGTGGTATATGTGTCCAGTTTCTAATGTTCTCCATGCGCTTGAGTCTGCTAAAAAACAGAACAAAGAGAGAAACTTTAAACAGCTCATTCGTGTCAAACCTCAGAAGAATCCCAGCATCAGAAATAAACAGACAGTTATAACATCTCAGACAGCTGATTAACTGTGAATGACTGTTTTAAATTGATTATAGAAATTTTGAGGCCATTAATACAAAATAACAGATTTAGATTCGATTACTAGAGGCTGTAATTGTATTTGCAATACCTTGCTGAATTTGAGTGTATTGTTTTATTATCCTGTACATGTTGTGAGCACACTCTTATGTTAACACTTTAAAAAAAAGTGTGAATAAACTTTCTGCAATACAAATGGTCATTATTTAATTCTTTTATAATTTTCCAAAGGTTGTGCATAAAAATATATCAGTGCAGCCTGGCTGTATTCTGCAATAATTCAGTTGTTTTATTTCTGAATGACAGAGGGAAAAATGCGGCATGTAGACAGATATTTTTATGGCAGCTATCAAAACTATTTAATAAAGATTCATGGGAAATTATGTAACATCTTTTAAATATGTTTGGATTCTTACCAGATAACATATAATCACCGGCCACTTTATTAGGTACACCTGTCCAACTGCTCGTTAGTGCAAATTTCTAATCAGAAAATGCATGTAGACATGGTGTAGACGATCTGCTGCAGCTCAAACTGAGCATCAGAATGGGGAAGAAAGGGGATTTAAGTGACTTTGAACGTGGCATGGTTGTAGCTGCCAGATGGGCTGGTCTGAGTATTTCAGAAACTGCTAATCTACTGTTTTTTTCATGCACAAACATATCTAGGCTTTACAGCGAATGATCTGAAAAAAAAAAAAATATCCAATGAGGAGCAGTTCTGTGGGCACAAATGCCTCATTGATGCCAGAGGTTAGAGGAGAATGGCCAGACTGGTTCGAGCTGATAGAAAAGGCAACAGTAACTCAAATAACCACTTGTTAAAATCGAAGTGTGCAGAAGAGCATCTCTGAATGCACAACACTCGACCTTGAGGTGGATGGGTCTTATCAGGTAAGAATCCAAAGTCAGTTCATTTTCAAAATGTTTTAAAATGTTGATGTTAACATTTAAAGCCATCCGCAATCTCGCCCCTCCATATTTGCCCTCATCCACATTTCTCTTCCTTCTCGCACCCTGCATTATGTTCCTACCTCCACTTGTCTATTCCCTGCTTGATAAAGCCTATAAAGAAAGACAACAACGCAAAAGAATAGCAAATAAAAGTAAAAAAAAAACAACAAAAAAAAAGCAACCCAAACAGAAAAAGTGATGTTTGTTGTGTTTGATTTTGTTCAGTTACTTTCAATTATTTAGAAAAACAAATGTGCTTAATTGACCATTCTCCAATTCATAATTGACTAGTCAGACATTAGTTCTGAAATGTGTGGTTGTCAAGCTGTCAGGATTCAGACTCTTACAACATGCTTTGTTATGGTAGTTTTAATGTGGAAGGTTCCCGGCTGGTTCACTTTACCACTTTGATTTTTCTGGTCTGTCTCAGTTTACCCCGAAGCTGGGGTAAAGTGAGACACAAGACCACTTTTTTTTAAACAATCATATTTTCACTTTCCTTTACCCTAAATACAGTCTGATAAAATCCATTGCTAGAAAACATTCTGAATTAATGACAAATGTTTACATTTTACTGATATATAATTTTAGCTCGCTTGCAGGGGAGCAAATGTAAAAAGTGTCTCACTTTACCCCGCTCTTCCCTACTTGGGTGGTTTGTTCTTCTCTCAGTTGCATCACATTCTCCGTGTATATTTCCTCTGCATCCTATTAAACCAAGAACAGCCATGTTTAATATTATTATAATGATTTACACACTCAGACATGTGCAGAGACAAACACTAAGTTAGTGCTTCTACTCAGACTTACTAACATACTAACTTTCTACTAACTTAGATTATTTTTGTCATTTTATCATCCAATTGTATTGAATCATTTATATTTTATTGCAGTCTTTTAATTCTATTTTATTTTCTGACTGTTTTTATTGTTCTGCTTTTTTTGCCATGTAGGCCTGTTAGCGCTTTGGGACTGAGAAAAGGGCATTATAAATAAAATGTATTATTATTATTACTCTTACTAGATTTTTGGGCCAGTCTACAGTATATTCTCATTCCACAATTTTTTTTTCAATACTTTATCTTTAAGTGTATTTTGAGAGCATTTTTAAGTGCCATTTCTCAAAATCCAACATGAAAAATGGATGGACCAGGACACTGACCGAATCCACACAGGTATAATGTTTACATAACACTTCATGAAGTTATGTTTATGATACTGTTACATGAATACAATTTTAGTCATTCTTTAACAAACAGATGTAAAAAATAGAAGTATATATTCAATTTTGTACATTAATATAAAACATAAATATTTCTTCTATTTGTTGTCAAATAACAGAACAAATAAAGAACAAATAATTTATAAAGCCAAACAGGAATCAACACATGCCGCCATTTTATTAATCTCAGCCTCACATTACTTCGGTAAGTAATTTGAAGTGTAAATGACGTTTGATAAGGTAGATCTGCTTATTTTAATAGATATACACTATAATATCTCGTGTTTCATGTGTATACAAGCGCTTATCGCCAATAACTGACATTTGAAGTGCAAAATAAATGCCGAGACGACTCTTACCTGTTTATGTATTTAAATCGACCCTGATTAAAAAAACGAATCTCCGGTTCACCACACGAACAGTAATGATTCATCAAACAGGAAATATTTACGAGTCAAACAAAGATTTCCTGAAAATTCGTTTTATTTTGCTCCCAAAACACCCGTGGAGGAAATAAACAACCGCTTGCTATTGCATTTTTCAACTCGAAGAAAACTGAGCAAAACTGACCAATGACGTAACAGCTGACTCGTAGAACGTTGGAACGCGTTCGAATTCTTGGGAGACACACCCTACTACAATCCAACTTTCGCCATTGCTTTATTTGACGATAATCTAGTCAGTTGTACAACATTTGCTTCGTATAATTTGCTTTTTTTATATTGTCAATTGATAGCATAAAGGCTCACTCTGATAAACGAGCTTAACTTACAGTAAATTTCAGTATTTATTGTAGGTTTATTTAACATTTCTCATATTTAAGTGTACGGAAATTAATCTATCATGTTATTTACCGTACTCGGAGTAATTGCTCTCTTCCTGAGAGAAAGAACCATCAAATCCACCGTCTCAGGTCAAGAAGAAAGATTCGACCGTCAGGAAGGATTGGTCACGGCACCCCCAGTGACTAACAGTGATGGTAAATAATGTTGTGTGTTATAAGAACATGTAGCTTATTTTGTATACTGGAGTCTGGGTAGGTCTATACACTTATTTTACCTTGCTGTAAATATTATTTACAAAAGTGATTAAGGTTTTTGGTAATAATATATGAGTAATAAAAACTACTGGTGTAAACGCATAACAAATAATATCAAAACTATCAATTATCGAATAACTCCACCCTCCCCCCAGCAGATTATTTAGCTTGTTTAAAAGAAAACTCAGTTCATTTTGACATATTTCTGAAAGCAAGACACTATTTTAACTTGTCAAGAAAATGCTTCTTGATTTAATGTTTTGATATTTGCAAAAGAAACAAGACAAAAACTAAGTAAAGTATTTTGCTTTGCATTAAGTTTTTCAATTATGCATTTGTAAAGACAAAATCATTTTCTCTGCTTCAAGATGGAAGGGTTAGTTCACCCAAAAATGCAAATTCTGTAATTAAGTACTCACCCTCACGTCACTCCAAACCCGAGACCTTCCTTCATCTTCTGGACACAAATGAAGATGTTTTAGATGAACTCTGAGCACTCTCTCGTCCTGCATATACAGCAAGGTTCCTGACTTGCTCAAAGTACATATGAATACCACAAACACATCCTCAAACAGACCATATGCCTACAGTGGTTCAGTCTGTACACTATTAAGCTACAATAATACTTTTGTGTAAACAAATTTATCCAACAGTTTATTCTCTTCAGTGTTGGTATATTACATGTGTTCACAAACACTGCACTGATGGATGCCTGTGCATGGCTTCCTCTGTTTTTTTGAAAATGAACAGAAATATTGTCTACTGCCATACAAAGGTAATAAATAAAATATTAAAACGCTCAATGTGATTTGAGTTCGACACCCCTGTTAGATGCCTTGTCTCTACTTGTTATTTGCTGTCTTCTACTGGGGGCATCTTAAAAACACTAAATCCTTTAGGAATATGTCCTAAAACACAATGCAGTGGTTTTAATGGATAACAAATGGTGATGTTAAATGTTTTAATAGTATTTGTAGTGGAAAACGTGAAATCTTTTCTCATAGGTTTGAGTTGTTTTTGCCAAGCTTAATGTTATTTTATTTATTGTTATATGATACAAAATATATCAGCTATAAGGTCACATTGACATGTATTTATACAAAACAAATTATTAATCGCAAAGTGAATTCGATTTGAACAGTAATTTCATCATATGACATTTTTTTATTTAATGGCATAATAGGCCTACCTAATTTAATGGCTGAACGGAAGATCAATATCTAGATGTCTAATATCCAGTATCTAACTATGAACTTAACAATAAATATTTGGATGATCTGATTATATATACAATCAGCAAATTAATTAAAATCACTATGTTGGTCATAGCAAAAAACATCCTTTCATGTGCACACACTAACCAACAACTAAAAGTAGAAAGAAATAACCTTAAAAGTCACTTTATAGTTGACAGCGTTTTTTTCATATCAATAACAAACACTGGAATAATATTATTCAAGTAAAACTAAAATCTTTTGTTTCATATTATTCCTTCCTTTAGGTCGAGAAATCGGTGACTGGTGTGAAGATTCATCTTTGCATCTGGAGGAACAGATCAATGTTCAGACTGAGGAACCGTCACTGGAGGAACCTGTTGATGATCATAGTGAAGAATCATCACTGGTAGAGCCTGACAGTGTTCACGGTGAAGAACCATCACTGGTAGAGCCTGACAGTGTTCACGGTGAAGAACAATCACTGGTAGAGCCTGACAGTGTTCACGGTGAAGAACCATCACTGGTAGAGCCTGACAGTGTTCACGGTGAAGAATTATCACTGGTAGAGCCTGTCGATGGTCACAGTGAGGACTTAGCCAGCTCCTCCAGCAGTGATGATGTTCCTCCAAACATTTTCTACGCTGAGTCCAGCAGTAGTGATGACTTCCCTCAAGAGTTTTACTTAGCCGGAACCAACTGTAGTAGTGAGCTCACAGCCAGCTCCTACAGCAGGTTCTTCTCTGCTGAATCCGGCTGTGGTGATGACCCCTCTACAGATTTTCTGTCCGCTGAGTCCGGCTGTGGTGATGACCCCTCTACAGATTTTATGTCCGCTGAGTCCGGCTGTGGTGATGACCCCTCTACAGATTTTCTGTCCGCTGAGTCCGGCTGTGGTGATGACCCCTCTACAGATTTTCAGTCCGCTGAGTCTGGCTGTGGTGATGACCCCCCTCCAAATGTGGTCTCTGCTGAGCCCGGCTGTAGTCATGATGACCCTCCAAATGTGGTCTCTGCTGAGCCCGGCTGTAGTCATGATGACCCTCCAAATGTGGTCTCTGCTGAGCCTGGCTGTAGTCATGATGACCCTCCAAAGGTGGTCTCTGCAAAGCCCGGCTGTAGTCATGATGACCCTCCAAATGTGCTCTCTGCTGAGCCCGGCTGTAGTCATGATGACCCTCCAAATGTGGTCTCTGCTGAGCCCGGCTGTAGTCATGATGACCCTCCAAAGGTGGTCTCTGAAAAGCCCGGCTGTAGTCATGATGACCCTCCAAAGGTGGTCTCTGCAAAGCCCGGCTGTAGTCATGATGACCCTCCAAAGGTGGTCTCTGAAAAGCCCGGCTGTAGTCATGATGACCCTCCAAATGTGGTCTCTGCAAAGCCCGGCTGTAGTCATTACCCCCCAACAAAAGTGGTCCCTGCTAAGCCCGGCTGTAAAGCTGCCGCTCAAGGTGCAACCGGTCAGACGAAGGGCGCTGTTCCACATCAGCCAAAACAGCTGAATTATAGAAACACACACATCATGGGTAAGTTTACAGCCCAGTCACCCAACACACATGCATATTTTAATAGTGTTTTCATGACTTTTATGCTTTAAACTGGCTTTAATACACATTTTGTTCAGGGATAGCTGATAACTAAGATAGAAATATATATATACAGTTGAAGTCAGAATTATTCGCCCCCTTTAAATAATTTTTTCTTTTTTAAGTATTTCCCAAATTATGTTTAACAGAGCAAGGAAATGTTCACAGTATGTCTGATAATATTTTTTCTTCTGGAAAAAGTCTTATTTGTTTTATTTCGGCTAGAATAAAAGCAGTTTTTAATTTTTTAAAAGCCATTTTAGGGACAAAATTATTAGTCCCTTTAAGCTATATTTTTTCGATAGTCTACAGAACAAACCATCGTTATACAATAACTTGCCTAATTACCCTAACCTGCCTAGTTAACCTAATTCACCTAGTAAAAAAAATAAATGTCACTTTAAGCTGTATAGAAGTGTCTTAAATATGCCTAGTCATTTTTTTATACTGTCATCATGACAAAGATAAAATAAATCAGTTATTAGAGATGAGTTATTAAAACTATTATGTTTAGAAATGTGCTGAAAAAATCAGCTCTCCGTTAAACAGAAATTGGTGGAAAAATAAACAGAGGGGCTAATAATTCAAAGGGGGTAATAATTTTGACTTCAACTGTATATATATATATAAATCAATCATAAAAATCATAATCATCTAGGGAAGACAGAATAAAAAAGGTTTAGATGATGGGGTTATATCTGCTGTGTTGACCCCTGATGGAGCAGGTAGTTTTAGATGAAGGCAGCACTGTCACTAATTCCCACATTTGATTAACTTCTCTTCTTTGTCTTTTCACAGAGATCAACTTCAAGATGTATGAAATTGGCGCTAAGCTGGGCAAAGGAGGCTTTGGAACCGTTTACACTGGGACCCGTATAAAAGATCGCCTTCCGGTGGCATTAAAAGTGGCTGACTTCAAGGTTAAGCAATTCATCCAAGTTGTAAGTAGTCTGCGCTCTTTGCTCTGATTAACTATGTCTATTTTAAACATGTCATATTAAGGGTGCTGTATGCAAGTTTTTGACTCTTCTAAAGCACAAAAATACCATAATATGTTTGCAGATATTTTAGAAACATGCCAAGTAAACAAAAGTCAGTTATTCTCCTTTAAAAAGAAATGTGTCTGTCTGTGTTTTGATCTCTATAATCTGCCCACTGCTTTTTATGATAGACGTGGTCAACAGTTTTAACAGAAAATAACTTTCTCATCAAATAATCTGAACAACTTTCTTTCTTCTAGGATGATTTTCTCCAGCCACTTCCAGCGGAGATCGCTCTGCACTTTCTTGCCTCTAAAGGCCCCAAAGCTAAACCAATTGTTAAGCTTCTGGACTGGAAAGTGGAGGCTAATCGTTACTTACTAGTCCTAGAGCGGCCCGTACCCTGTGAGAACTTATGGGAATTTCTATGTAAATACGACGGTAGAATCCCAGAGAAGATATTATGGAAAATCATGTTCCATACAACAATTGCAGCTGACATCTGCTGCAAACGTGGAGTGCTTCACCGCGATATCAAGGCTGAGAATTTGCTGATTAACCTGCGGACCCATCAAGTCAAACTGACTGACTTTGGGTGTGGTGAACGCCTTACTAGGAGCTGTTACAAAGAGTACTGCGGTAAGTAAATCCTTCAAAGCTCTAAGGAGCTCTTGTGATGGGGCAAGGGTCATTCACATGAGACTCTTGAAACATCCGCTGTTGTTTATCCATACCAGGGGTCCCAAAGCTCAGTCCAAGGGGGCCGGCGGCCTACAGAGTTTAACTCCAACTTGCTTCAACACACCTGACAGGAAATGTCTAATATACTTAGAAAGAGCTTGATTAGCTCGTTTAGTTGTGTTTAACTGGGGCTGGAGCTAAACTCTGCAGGACACAGATCCTCCAGAACTGGGTTTGGGCACCCCTGATCTACACTGTTGTTTGTGGAAATTTAGATGATGTGCTAATGGAAACAAAATCTCTTTCTTTCAGGCACACCACAGTACTGCCCTCCCGAGTTCAATAGCACTGGCTTATACTACGGGGAGCCAGCGACAGTGTGGTCACTCGGGATTCTTCAATATTTGCTGATGTTCAAAAAATTTCCAGACTACCATGACCTCCAAAACTTGACTTTCACAAATTTAGGGCAATATGGATGGTCAAAAGGTGAGATCTTCACTTCAGCTAAAGATGGTTGTGTAGGACAATTTGAATGTCAATGAAAAGTTTACAATTTAAGGCAATAATTACATGTACCTATTCCTTTTTTCCTACACAGAATGCTGTGATTTTATTAGCTGTTGTTTGCAGACTGACTACCAACTTCGGTCTAAGCTGCAAACACTCCGTACCCATGACTGGTTTAAGGTAAGGAATACATTTTGAGGATTTTGTAATCAGTCAAATGAATCTGTCATGAGCTGAGTTTCCATCGTAATGTGATGCACACCTTTTTAAAGTTTACTAAACATATATATTTTGTAAATATAAATGTGAATTATGTGCAAATGATTTACATCAAGTTGGTCGAGCAGCTAAACTGTGGAATTGGTAACCTCGTAACCAACAGTAAACAAGGCAAGTATAATTGAGAAATATTTGCTACATCAAAGTTAATTTGACAAATGCATTTCTATCATGAACCCTTTTTCAAAAGAGTCCAAAATGACCTCAAGTGAGCATAAAAACGTTTTGGGAATTAAAGGATTTTTATTTGAAACTTGTTTCTCATGTGATACTTAAAAAGGTGCTTTAACACAGGCTGATGGAAACCCAGCTATTGTCAGACAACAGTCTTGTGTTCTAAAATGTCCTTGATATTTATGGCTTTTCTTTTTATTTTATGTTGTTTGTTTAATGCATTAAAGCAAACCTGATCACTGTTTTTGTTTCAGGCGGAGAACAAGCCGCAATGAGGAGAGATGTCCTTTTTTAATAGGTGGATCTAGCCAGTCCATCCATGCCACCATAGTCCTTTAGCTAAACATATCTTCATCCATTACAACCTTATAGAGAGAAAGCTGAACATAATTTGGTTCTGCATTGTTACATCTCTCCTATTTTTCAACATTTACACTGGCTCTAATAAAAAAAAGAAAAAAAAAGATAAAGCACTTAACAGTTTATATAGTGTACACATCCCTTCCTTTAATATCAGATTTTGCTTTAACTCTTGCACTTCCACATGCTAAAATAAAAAAATAAAATAAAAAAAATATATATCTCAGTCGTTCCCAGTCCAGGTCCACATATTTTGGGTGTCTCTCTCTAAAAAATGTCATTTGAGCCAGAGGAGAGACTCCTGACCAATGATTACTGGGATCAACTGATATATATACAGGGTTTGCAATGAACATTATCACTCACCAGCCAATTTGGCCACAAAACTAGAAAAAAAAAATATATATATATTTAAAAAAAAAGTAAAAAAAAAAAAAAAATATATATATATATATATATATATATATATATATATATATATATATATATAATTAAATTAAAAACTGGAATTATTTTTATAAAAATAAAAAAATAAAATAAAACAATAAAAAGCAAACATCATTAATAAATAAAACAATAAAAAACTGCCTATATTGAAGTATAAATCTATAACTAGCCATGTTATTGACCAGAAATTCTTCTAAAAACAAACAAAAAAAGATTAATTAAAAAAAAAAGTAAGCTATGTAATTCATTATTCATCATCATGTTCATCTTCAGAACTATTTTTACAATTTTTATCTTTATCTTAGAGCTCCCTCATCCAGACTCAAAGTCTACAAAAAAATCATCAAAACAGATCATATGCCTTCACATAAAACAAACATTTTTATTCAACGTTTCTTCTCCTCAGTGTGATTATAGGGCACGCGTTCACAAGCACTGTGCAGTGACATATACCCCACGGGATGCCTGCGCGACTTCCTCTCTGACTTCCTCTCTTAAAAAAATACACAGGCACATCCAAGGTTATATGTCAGAGGTGCGACATGTGAACGCGTGCCCTATACTGACACTGAGGGAAGAAATTGTTGAATAGTTAATGTTGTTTTATGTGCACATGAAAGTATTCTCATAGTCAGGAATCTTACTGTCTATGAAGGATTAAGGAGCTCTCAGATTTGACTAAAATATCTTCATTATTTTCATTCAAATATCTTCAGTTGAGTTCTGAAGAGAAATAAAGTTACTACGTTTAGTATTTGCTTTAATATCGTCCTCATATACAACCTTCTTCAGTCTAATGTTTTGCTAATGTGGTATATGATTTAAGGTTGGAGGACATCATTTATTGACTTGTGATTTTGTGTGTAGTTGTAGTTTATGGTGAGTGATAATCCAAACCCTGTATATATAGGTGGCGAAGTCCGTTCCTCCACGTGGTGCCACTGGAAACTGCCCATCTTGAAGGTGGTGCTGAGCTGAACACGGACAAAAACTGACATTAGTCTGGGGAAACAAACCTCATGACTGATGACAATTACCAATTTTGTACTAAAGTTTGAAATAAAGTCACTTTTGTCAAAAATAAGTATTTCTTCTATTTTTTAAAGGCTGATTACTGCTGATTACTGTGTGTTTCAAATCATTCAGGAACAAAAAATGACAACGTTTGTAGATTTAACATGAACCTAAGATTAGCTGGATTTAACGTCACTGAGCTGAATGTGTTTGATGTAAAAGCATACATGTGATGGAATTTCTAGCACTAATGCAGTGTAAAAAGGCTTCCCTTCCAGCCGCAACCAAGCCTTACGCTGGGAAACACCCATACACTCTCTCATTCACACACACAGACACTCATTCAACATGGCCAATTTTGTTTATTTAATTCACTTATACTGCTTGTGTCTGACTGGACTGTGGGGGAAACTGGAGCTCCTGGAGAAAACCCACACAAACATGAAGAGAACATGCAAACTCCACAAAGAAATGCCAACTGGTCCAGCCAGCACCTTCTTGCTGTGAGGTGACAGTGCTAACCACTGAGCCCTGGTCTGTTTGACCAGGATTTAATCCTCCAACAATAGAGTGGAGGAACTATGACGTCAATTTGTATGCAAAAACCCGGAAGCGAGTTAGCATTTTAGCAGTTCCGGTTCCCTCGTCCCAATGTCAATGGGTTTTTTCAATGGGGTTTCAGTAAAATCGCTTAAATAAGGTTCGTGGCTAACACAAACTCAAGACACTTTCACGTTTTGTTCTACGACATAAAACACATCAGTTACAGCACGCTCCTGATGTTTTAAACCGGTTATGCTTCTTTAAAAAGACGGTTGCTATCAAGTTGCTAAATGGGACTACAGGCGGTGTCGGGGACGTTATACGTCATCGAGCTGAAATGATCTGGAGCGCAGCTCGCTTGTGTTGGGCATTTGGATTTGTCTGTTATTTAGGTATTTTCATGAATAGTATTTTATAGTTTGTAGTATTTTTCTAATTGGGAATTCAGATTGTGTGTAGATAATTCCTTCACTTGTAAAGACCGTCGAGACAGATTGTTTTGTTGATCTTTTATTTTAAGAAACAATATTATGAAGATACTGCTCACCAGTGCAGCCTGCCTCTGTCCTGCTCTCAGTCATGCAAATGTGTGAATAAATGTGTAAAAATACATGCATGTTAACTGTCATTTTCACGTGATCAAGTGATTTTTCGTCTTTCTTTCTTCATCTGAACACTTGGTTATAACTGCAATGTTTACACTCCTCCATAAAATGTATAGCATATGTGACTGTATGGGCTGCTTTTCACTGTACTTCGTGACAAAAAAGGAATATTGAATGTTGCTCTGTGTCCATGATGGAACTTGTTCCTCACGCCTCATTTCTGTCGTCTGTTAAGGTCATGGACGGTAAGGTAAGTGGGCTGTGTGCACGCGAGCGATACAGTTGTTTAAATATGTACTATAACAACCGTAAAGCAAAACAGATGTATTTCCCACGTAAAAACGATCCAAAAGCCACATAGGTCTATGTGTTTTGCTTATTTATTTGTTTATTATATATGCCATGGATTGAAAATATAGTAAACAGAGAGATTAACTCTTTGTCATGGACATTATTTCTAAAAAAAAAAAAAAAAAAGCTTGATAAGTTGTCTGTAGCAGTGTGGTGCTGACGTCACAGACGAGCGCCCCGAGGGCACTGTAGTCCGTTTATAGCCTAATAGCTTTTCAATTCCTGCTAAGGGTGTCACGATCCTCCAAATCCTCGATTTGATTACATTTTTGATTCTAAAGTCACAGTTCGATTCTCGATTATGAATAATTAATTAATAACGAATTAATTATTTGTAGCCAACCGTTTAAACTACCTGACCTGCATGGTCTTTGTTTTACCCATAAACAAATCATACAGTAAATGTGTAAGTTACACACATAATTACCACCTGTCAATCACTTTTTTTTCTGCGGGACTCATGAATAGGCAGTGATCTGTGTCGTTATACTATCTGTGTCGTTATGCTAAGAAATGCTACACACCAGTGTGGATGTGGATCGTTGTTGTTCTAAAATGTCATTTAAAAACAAAGACCTATTAGTGTAAACCACAGACTGTGGTGTAAACAGGGCCTGAGTGTGTATTTTTCACCAGCGGATTTGCAACGGGGGCGGTGCGGAGGATCGCAATGCGCCCATCTTCTATCGGCCCAACTCTAACACTTACATAGCAGAGCTTGCAAACTGTTTTTTTGTTTGTCGACAACACGAACGTTGTCAACATAACTCACTAGAAATTCAAAATACTTCCACACCGGCGACTTCATTGAAAGAGGAGAGGGATTAAGCTCTGTCGACGAGTCTCCCGCATCTGCAGTTTAACAAGCACTTTAACGAGTGCTTTTTCCCGCTTGGCATGCCAAGCTGACGTGACATGGGGGCGTGGCAGCATCGACGATTCTATTTTTTGATTCGATAACCGAAATTGAGCATAAATTTCGATCGATTTCGATTTAAAATTGAAATCGTGACACCCTTAATTCTTGCGTTTGTATTTAAAATCCAAAAGTGCTCAAAGTTGTATTTTCGTGTGAGGATTATCTGGCTGGACAAAACGTGCAAGTGTAATGAACAGTGTTTTAACACAGAGCTTATTATTTGCAATCTTCGAAAAGCCTATGGGAAAATCCCATAGGGATTTTCACGAGGGAACCAGTTTTATGCTAGCAGCCGATTAGCCTACAAAGTGACCTCATAGTTCCTCCACTCTATAGCACTCCCTATTTTATTCTTTAACGATCTGTTTGTCCTGCTTCTTTGTTCATTTACACAGTCAGAAGCATGTGGCCGGTCAGCATTCGCACGCTGAGACGAGCACAGGAGCGCAGACATCTAAAGTCATCTTAATGTGAGTGCTTTAATGGTCAAATAGGTGTCAAAACGCGGTGTTTAGTGATTATTCAGATTAACCCTCATTTGTGTAATAAACAAACGAGTTGAGAATCAAAAGACACGTAAAAGAGAAACCATTAAAGTGACACCGCGAAAAATTCCTGCTGCCGCCTGTTTTTATCATTAATCAAACAACAAGGAGAAAATCCCTCTCTGCTCTTGACTGAAGAATTTTCGTAGCTAAAGTGTTTTTCTAAGGGTTAAAGCACAGTTTGCTTTATATTTTTATTCTATTGTATTTATTTCTCTTTCCTTTGCAGGGTGGAAAATAACTGTATGTATACTGTTGAAGTCAGAATTATTAGCAACCCTTTTCCTGCCCAATTTCTGCTCAATGGAAATAAGTTTTTTTTTTTACTTATTTATAAACGTAATAGTTTTAATAACTCATTACTAATTACTGATGTCTTTTGTCTTTGCTATTATGACAGTACATAATATTTTACTAGATATTTTTCAAAATACAAGCATTCAGATTAAAGTGCAATTCAAAGGCTTAATTAGAGTAATTAGGCAAGTCATTGTATAACAGTAGTTTCTTCTGCAGACAATCAAAAAATATATTGCTTAAGGGGGCTAAAACTATTGACCTTAAAATGGGTTTCAAAATATTTAAACCTGCTTTTATTCTAGCTAAAATAAAACAAATAAGCCTAGAAGAAAAAATATTATATTAAATACTGTTAAAACTCCTTGCTCTGTTAAACATCATTTGGGAATTTTTTTATTTTTTTTAATTCTCAGGAGTGCTAATAATTTTGACTTCAACAGTAATCGTTTTAAATAATTGTGATTACAATTATGACCTAAATAATCGTGATTATGATTTTTCCCAAAATCGAGCAGCCCTACTATTAAGTAATAAGTATTACTCTAAGATGAATAATAGTTTTTTGTTTACCTTCATTGCTTCTGAAAATAAAAACAAGCGATGAAAATCCCTGAAGATGTCTACTGTGGATGTGGTATATGTGTCCAGTTTCTAATGTTCTCCATGCGCTTGAGTCTGCTAAAAAACAGAACAAAGAGAAAAACTTTAAACAGCTCATTCGTGTCAAACCTCAGAAGAATCCCAGCATCAGAAATAAACAGACAGTTATAACATCTCAGACTGCTGATTAACTGTGAATGACTATTTTAAATTGATTATATAAATTTTGAGGCCATTAATACAAAATAACAGATTTAGATTCGATTACTAGAGGCTGTAATTGTATTTGCAATACCTTGCTGAATTTGAGTGTATTGTTTTATTATCCTGTACATGTTGTGAGCAAACTCTTATGTTAACACTTTAAATAAAAGTGTGAATAAAATTTCTGCAATACAAATGGTCATTATTTAAATCATTTATAATTTTCTAAAGGTTGTGCATAAAAATATATCAGTGCAGCCTCGCTGTATTCTGCAATAATTCGGTTGTTTTATTTCTGAATGACAGAGGGAAAAATGCGGCATGTAGACAGATATTTTTATGGCAGCTATCAAAACTATTTAATAAAGATTCATGGGAAATTATGTAGCATCTTTTAAATATGTTTGGATTCTTACCAGATAACAAATAATCACCGGCCACTTTATTAGGGACACCTGTCCAACTGCTCGTTAGTGCAAATTTCTAATCAGAAAATACATGTAGACATGGTGTAGACGATCTGCTGCAGCTCAAACTGAGCATCAGAATGGGGAAGAAAGGGGATTTAAGTGACTTTGAACGTGGCATGGTTGTTGCTGCCAGATGGGCTGGTCTGAGTACTTCAGAAACTGCTAATCTACTGTTTTTTTTATGCACAAACATATCTAGGCTTTACAGCGAATGATCTGAAAAAAAAAAAAATATCCAATGAGGAGCAGTTCTGTGGGCACAAATGCCTCATTGATGCCAGAGGTTAGAGGAGAATGGCCAGACTGGTTCGAGCTGATAGAAAAGGCAACAGTAACTCAAATAACCACTTGTTAAAATCGAAGTGTGCAGAAGAGCATCTCTGAATGCACAACACTCGACCTTGAGGTGGATGGGTCTTATCAGGTAAGAATCCAAAGTCAGTTCATTTTCAAAATGTTTTAAAATGTTGATGTTAACATTTAAAGCCATCCGCAATCTCGCCCCTCCATATTTGCCCTCATCCACATTTCTCTTCCTTCTCGCACCCTGCATTATGTTCCTACCTCCACTTGTCTATTCCCTGCTTGATAAAGCCTATAAAGAAAGACAACAACGCAAAAGAATAGCAAGTAAAAGTAAAAAAAACAAACAAAAAAAGCAACCCAAACAGAAAAAGTGATGTTTGTTGTGTTTGATTTTGTTCAGTTACTTTCAATTATTTAGAAAAACAAATGTGCTTAACTGACCATTCTCCAATCCATAATTGACTAGTCAGACATTAGTTCTGAAATGTGTGGTTGTCAAGCTGTCAGGATTCAGACTCTTACAACATGCTTTGTTATGGTACTTTTAATGTGGAAGGTTCCCGGCTGGTTCACTTTACCACTTTGATTTTTCTGGTCTGTCTCAGTTTACCCCGAAGCTGGGGTAAAGTGAGAGACAAGACCACTTTTTTTTAAACAATCATATTTTCACTTTCCTTTACCCTAAATACAGTCTGATAAAATCCATTGCTAGAAAACATTCTGAATTAATGACAAATGTTTACATTTTACTGATATATAATTTTAGCTCGCTTGCAGGGGAGCAAATGTAAAAAGTGTCTCACTTTACCCCGCTCTTCCCTACTTGGGTGGTTTGTTCTTCTCTCAGTTGCATCACATTCTCCGTGTATATTTCCTCTGCATCCTATTAAACCAAGAACAGCCATGTTTAATATTATTATAATGATTTACACACTCAGACATGTGCAGAGACAAACACTAAGTTAGTGCTTCTACTCAGACTTACTAACATACTAACTTTCTACTAACTTAGATTATTTTTGTCATTTTATCATCCAATTGTATTGAATCATTTATATTTTATTGAAGTCTTTTTATTTTCTGACTGTTTTTATTGTTTTGCTTTGTTTGCCATGTATGCCTGTTAGCGCTTTGGAACTGAGAAAAGGGCATTATAAATAAAATGTATTATTATTATTACTCTTACTAGATTTTTGGGCCAGTCTACAGTATATTCTCATTCCACAACTTTTTTTTCAGTACTTAAGTGTATTTTGAGAGCATTTTTAAGTGCCATTTCTCAAAATCCAACATGAAAAATGGATGGTCCAGGACACTGACCGAATCCACAAAGGTATGTTTACATCACACTTTATTAATAGTTATGTTTATGATATTGTTACATAAATACATAATTAGTCATTCTTTAACAAACAGATGTGAAAAATAGAAGTCAATTCCGAACATTAATTAACATAAAACATTAATATTGCTTCTCTTTGTTGTCAAATAACAGAACAAATAAAGAACAAATAATTTATAAAGCCAAACAGGAATCAACACATGCCGCCATTTTATTCTCAGCCTCACTACTTCGGTAAGTAATTTGAAGTGTAAATGCGTTTGATAAGGTAGATCTGCTTATTTTAATAGATATACACTATAATATCTCGTGTTTCATGTGTATACAAGCGCTTATCGCCAATAACTGACATTTGAAGTGCAAAATGCCGAGACGACTCTTACCTGTTTATGTATTTAAATCGACCCTGATAAAAAAAACGAATCTCTGGTTCACCACACGAACAGTAATGATTCATCAAACAGGAAATATTTACGAGTCAAACAAAGATTTCCTGAAAATTCGTTTTATTTTGCTCCCAAAACACCCGTGGAGGAAATAAACAACCGCTTGCTATTGCATTTTTCAACTCGAAGAAAAACTGAGCAAAACTGACCAATGACGTAACAGCTGACTCGTAGAACGTTGGAACGCGTTCGAATTCTTGGGAGACACACCCTACTACAATCCAACTTTCGCCATTGCTTTATTTGACGATAATCTAGTTAGTTGTACAACATTTGCTTCGTATAATTTTCTTTTTTTATATTGTCAATTGATAGCATAAAGGCTCACTCTGATAAACGAGCTTTACTTACAGTAAATTTCAGTATTTATTGTAGGTTTATTTAACATTTCTCATATTTAAGTGTACGGAAATTAATCTATCATGTTATTTACCGTACTCGGAGTAATTGCTCTCTTCCTGAGAGAAAGAACCATCAAATCCACCGTCTCAGGTCAAGAAGAAAGATTCGACCGTCAGGAAGGATTGGTCACGGCACCCCCAGTGACTAACAGTGATGGTAAATAATGTTGTGTGTTATAAGAACATGTAGCTCATTTTGTATACTGGAGTCTGGGTAGGTCTCTACACTTATTTTACCTTGCTGTAAATATTATTTACAAAAGTGAATAAGGTTTTTGGTAATAATATACGAGTAATAAAAATGACTGGTGTAAACGCATAACAAATAATATCAAAACTATCAATTATCAAATAACTCCACCCTCCCCCCAGCAGATTATTTAGCTTGTTTTAAAGAAAACTCAGTTCATTTTGACATATTTCTGAAAGCAAGACACTATTTTAACTTGTCAAGAAAATTCTTCTTGATTTAATGTTTTGATATTTGCAAAAGAAACAAAACAAAAACTAAGTAAAGTATTTTGCTTTGCATTAAGTTTTTCAATTATGCATTTGTAAAGACAAAATCATTTTCTCTGCTTCAAGATGGAAGGGTTAGTTCACCCAAAACTGCAAATTCTATAATTAAGTACTCACCCTCATGTCACTCCAAACCCGAGACCTTCCTTCATCTTCTGGACACAAATGAAGATGTTTTAGAAGAACTCTGAGCACTCTCTCGTCCTGCATATACAGCAAGGTTCCTGACTTGCTCAAAGTACATATGAATACCACAAAAACATCCTCAAACAGACCATATGCCTACAGTGGTTCAGTCTGTACACTTATTAAGCTACAATAATACTTTTGTGTAAACAAATTTATCCAACAGTTTATTCTCTTCAGTGTTGGTATATTACATGTGTTCACAAACACTGCACTGATGGATGCCTGTGCATGGCTTCCTCTGTTATTTGATACTTTCTGGCCTTTGAATGAGTCTGGACCCTTGCTATCTATGGAGGATAAAGGAGCTCTAAGATTTCACCTAAAACATCTTAATTTGTGTTATTAAAATGAACAGAAATATTGTCTACTGCCATACAAAGTTAATAAATAAAATATTAAAACGCTCAATGTGATTTGAGTTCGACACCCCTGTTAGATGCCTTGTCTCTACTTGTTATTTTGCTGTCTTCTACTGGGGGCATCTTAAAAACACTAAATCCTTTAGGAATATGTCCTAAAACACAATGCAGTGGTTTTAATGGATAACAAATGGTGATGTTTAATGTTTTGATAGTATTTGTAGTGGAAAACGTGAAATCTTTTCTCATAGGTTTGAGTTGTTTTTGCCAAGCTTAATGTTATTTTATTTATTGTTATATGATACAAAATATATCAGCTATAAGGTCATATTGACATGTATTTATACAAAACAAATTATTAATCGCAAAGTGAATTCGATTTGAACAGTAATCTCATCATGTGACATTTTTTTTATTTAATGGCATAATAGGCCGACCTAATTTAATGGCTGAACGGAAGATCAATATCTAGATGTCTAATATCCAGTATCTAACTATGAACTTAACAATAAATATTTGGATGATCTGATTATATATACATTCAGCAAATTAATTAAAATCACTATGTTGGTCATAGCAAAAAACATCCTTGCATGTGCACACACTAACCAACAACTAAAAGTAGAAAGAAATAACCTTAAAAGTCACTTTATAGTTGACAGCGTTTTTTCATATCAATAACAAACACTGGAATAATATTATTCAAGTAAAACTAAAATCTTTTGTTTCATATTATTCCTTCCTTTAGGTCGAGAAATCGGTGACTGGTGTGAAGATTCATCTTTGCATCTGGAGGAACAGATCAATGTTCAGACTGAGGAACCGTCACTGGAGGAACCTGTTGATGATCATAGTGAAGAACAATCACTGGTAGAGCCTGACAGAGTTCACGGTGAAGAACAATCACTGGTAGAGCCTGACAGTGTTCACGGAGAAGAATCATCACTGGTAGAGCCTGTCAGTGTTCACGGTGAAGAACAATCACTGGTAGAGCCTGACAGTGTTCACGGTGAAGAATTATCACTGGTAGAGCCTGTCGATGGTCACAGTGAGGACTTAGCCAGCTCCTCCAGCAGTGATGATGTTCCTCCAAACATTTTCTACGCTGAGTCCAGCAGTAGTGATGACTTCCCTCAAGAGTTTTACTCAGCCGGATCCAAATGTAGTAGTGAGCTCACAGCCAGCTCCTACAGCAGCTTCTTCTCTGCTGAGTCCGGCTGTGGTGATGACCACTCTACAGATTTTCTGTCCGCTGAGTCTGGCTGTGGTGATGACCCCTCTACAGATTTTCAGTCCGCTGAGTCTGGCTGTGGTGATGACCCCTCTACAGATTTTCAGTCCGCTGAGTCTGGCTGTGGTGATGACCCCCCTCCAAATGTGGTCTCTGCTGAGCCTGGCTGTAGTCATGAAGACCCTCCAAAGGTGGTCTCTGAAAAGCCCGGCTGTAGTCATGATGACCCTCCAAAGGTGGTCTCTGAAAAGCCCGGCTGTAGTCATGATGACCCTCCAAATGTGGTCTCTGCTGAGCCTGGCTGTAGTCATGATGACCCTCCAAATGTGGTCTCTGAAAAGCCCAGCTGTAGTCATGATGACCCTCCAAACGTGGTCTCTGCTGAGCCTGGCTGTAGTCATGATGACCCTCCAAATGTGGTCTCTGCTGAGCCCGGCTGTAGTCATGAAGACCCTCCAAAGGTGGTCTCTGCAAAGCCCGGCTGTAGTCATGATGACCCTCCAAAGGTGGTCTCTGCAAAGCCCGGCTGTAGTCATGATGACCCTCCAAAGGTGGTCTCTGAAAAGCCCGGCTGTAGTCATGATGACCCTCCAAATGTGGTCTCTGCAAAGCCCGGCTGTAGTCATTACCCCCCAACAAAAGTGGTCCCTGCTAAGCCCGGCTGTAAAGCTGCCGCTCAAGGTGCAACCTGTCAGACGAAGGGCGCTGTTCCACATCATCCAAAACAGCTGAATTATAGAAACACACACATCATGGGTAAGTTTACAGCCCAGTCACCCAACACACATGCATATTTTAATAGTGTTATGACTTTTATGCTTTAAACTGGCTTTAATACACATTTTGTTCAGGGATAGCTGATAACTAAGATAGAAATATATATATACAGTTGAAGTCAGAATTATTCGCCCCCTTTAAATAATTTTTTTCTTTTTTAAGTATTTCCCAAATTATGTTTAACATAGCAAGGACATTTTCACAGTATGTCTGATAATATTTTTTCTTCTGGAAAAAGTCTTATTTGTTTTATTTCGGCTAGAATAAAAGCAGTTTTTAATTTTTTAAAAGCCATTTTAGGGACAAAATTATTAGTCCCTTTAAGCTATATTTTTTCGATAGTCTACAGAACAAACCATCGTTATACAATAAGTTGCCTAATTACCCTAACCTGCCTAGTTAACCTAATTCACATAGTAATAGTGAAAATAAACAGAGGGGCTAATAATTCAAGAGGGGTAATAATTTTGACTTCAACTGTATATATATATATAAATCAATCATAAAAATCATAATCATCTAGGGAAGACAGAATAAAAAAGGTTTAGATGATGGGGTTATATCTGCTGTGTTGACCCCTGATGGAGCAGGTAGTTTTAGATGAAGGCAGCACTGTCACTAATTCCCACATTTGATTAACTTCTCTTCTTTGTCTTTTCACAGATATCAACTTCAAGATGTATGAAATTGGCGCTAAGCTGGGCAAAGGAGGCTTTGGAACCGTTTACACTGGGACCCGTATAAAAGATCGCCTTCCGGTGGCATTAAAAGTGGCTGACTTCAAGGTTAAGCAATTCATCCAAGTTGTAAGTAGTCTGCGCTCTTTGCTCTGATTAACTATGTCTATTTTAAACATGTCATATTAAGGGTGCTGTATGCAAGTTTTTGACTCTTCTAAAGCACAAAAATACCATAATATGTTTGCAGATATTTTAGAAACATGCCAAGTAAACAAAAGTCAGTTATTCTCCTTTAAAAAGAAATGTGTCTGTCTGTGTTTTGATCTCTATAATCTGCCCACTGCTTTTTATGATAGACGTGGTCAACAGTTTTAACAGAAAATAACTTTCTCATCAAATGATCTGAACAACTTTCTTTCTTCTAGGATGATTTTCTCCAGCCACTTCCAGCGGAGATCGCTCTGCACTTTCTTGCCTCTAAAGGCCCCAAAGCTAAACCAATTGTTAAGCTTCTGGACTGGAAAGTGGAGGCTAATCGTTACTTACTAGTCCTAGAGCGGCCCGTACCCTGTGAGAACTTATGGGAATTTCTATGTAAATACGACGGTAGAATCCCAGAGAAGATATTATGGAAAATCATGTTCCATACAACAATTGCAGCTGACATCTGCTGCAAACGTGGAGTGCTTCACCGCGATATCAAGGCTGAGAATTTGCTGATTAACCTGCGGACCCATCAAGTCAAACTGACTGACTTTGGGTGTGGTGAACGCCTTACTAGGAGCTGTTACAAAGAGTACTGCGGTAAGTAAATCCTTCAAAGCTCTAAGGAGCTCTTGTGATGGGGCAAGGGTCATTCACATGAGACTCTTAAAACATCCGCTGTTGTTTATCCATACCAGGGGTGCCAAAGCTCAGTCCTAGAGGGCCGGTGGCCTACAGAGTTTAGCTCCAACTTGCTTCAACACACCTGACAGGAAATGTCTAATATACTTAGAAAGAGCTTGATTAGCTCGTTCAGTTGTGTTTAACTGGGGCTGGAGCTAAACTCTGCAGGACACAGATCCTCCAGAACTTGGTTTGGGCACCCCTGATCTACACTGTTGTTTGTGGAAATTTAGATGATGTGCTAATGGAAACAAAATCTCTTTCTTTCAGGCACACCACAGTACTGCCCTCCCGAGTTCAATAGCACTGGCTTATACTACGGGGAGCCAGCGACAGTGTGGTCACTCGGGATTCTTCAGTATTTGCTAATGTTCAAAAAATTTCCAGACTACCATGACCTCCAAAACTTGACTTTCACAAATTTAGGGCAATATGGATGGTCAAAAGGTGAGATCTTCACTTCAGCTAAAGATGGTTGTGTAGGACAATTTGAATGTCAATGAAAAGTTTACAATTTAAGGCAATAATTACATGTACCTCTTCCTTTTTTCCTACACAGAATGCTGTGATTTCATTAGCTGTTGTCTGCAGACTGACTACAAACTTCGGTCTAAGCTGCAAACACTCCGTACCCATGACTGGTTTAAGGTAAGGAATACATTTTAAGGGTTTTGTCATCAGTCAAATGAATCTGTCATGAGCTGAGTTTCCATCGTAATGTGATGCACACCTTTTTAAAGTTTACTAAACATATATATTTTGTAAATATAAATGTGAATTATGTGCAAATGATTTACATCAAGTTGGTCGAGCAGCTAAACTGTGGAATTGGTAACCTCGTAACCAACAGTAAACAAGGGAAGTATAATTGAGAAATATTTGCTACATCAAAGTTAATTTGACAAATGCATTTCTATCATGAACCCTTTTTCAAAAGAGTCCAATATGACCTCAAGTGAGCATAAAAACGTTTTGGGAATTAAAGGATTTTTATTTGAAACTTGTTTCTCATGTGATACTTAAAAAGGTGCATTAACACAGGCTGATGGAAACCCAGCTATTGTCAGACAACAGTCTTGTGTTCTAAAATGTCCTTGATATTTATGGCTTTTCTTGTTATTTTATGTTGTTTGTTTAATGCATTAAAGCAAACCTGATCACTGTTTTTGTTCCAGGCGGAGAACAAGCCGCAATGAGGAGAGATGTCCTTTTTTAATAGGTGGATCTAGCCAGTCCATCCATGCCACCATAGTCCTTTAGCTAAACATATCTTCATCCATTACAACCTTAGAGAGAGAAAGCTGAACATAATTTGGTTCTGCATTGTTACATCTCTCCTATTTTTCAACATTTACACTGGCTCTAATAAAAAAAAAGAAAAAAAAAGATAAAGCACTTAACAGTTTATATAGTGTACACATCCCTTCCTTTAATATCAGATTTTGCTTTAACTCTTGCACTTCCACATGCTAAAATAAAAATAAAAAACAAAAAAATATATACATCTCAGTCGTTCCCAGTCCAGGTCCACATATTTTGGGTGTCTCTCTCTAAAAAATGTCATTTGAGCCAGAGGAGAGAGACTCCTGACCAATGATTACTGGGATCAACTGATATATATACAGGGTTTGCAATGAACATTATCACTCACCAGCCAATTTGGCCACAAAACTAGAAAAAATATATATATATATATTTAAAAAAAAAGTAAAAAAAAAATATATATATATATATATATATATATATATATAATTAAATTAAAAACTGGAATTATTTTTATAAAAATAAAAAAATAAAATAAAACAATAAAAAGAAACATCATTAATAAATAAAACAATAAAAAAAATGCCTATATTGAAGTATAAATCTATAACTAGCCATGTTATTGACCAGAAATTCTTCTAAAAACAAACAAAAAAAGATTAATTAATTAAAAAAAGTAAGCTATGTAATTCATTATTCATCATCATGTTCATCTTCAGAACTATTTTTACAATTTTTATCTTTATCTAAGAGCTCCCTCATCCAGACTCAAAGTCTACAAAAAAACTCATCAAAACAGATCATATGCCTTCACATAAAACAAACATTTTTATTCAACGTTTCTTCTCCTCAGTGTGATTATAGGGCACGCGTTCACAAGCACTGTGCAGTGACATATACCCCACGGGATGCCTGCGCGACTTCCTCTCTGACTTCCTCTCTTAAAAAAATACACAGGCGCATCCAAGGTTATATGTCAGAGGTGCGACATGTGAACGCGTGCCCTATACTGACACTGAGGGAAGAAATTGTTGAATAGTTAATGTTGTTTTATGTGCACATAAAAGTTTTCTCATAGTCAGGAATCTTACTGTCTATGAAGGATTAAGGAGCTCTCAGATTTGACTAAAATATCTTCATTATTTTCATTCAAATATCTTCAGTTGAGTTCTGAAGAGAAATAAAGTTACTACGTTTAGTATTTGCTTTAATATCGTCCTCATATACAACCTTCTTCAGTCTAATGTTTTGCTAATGTGGTATATGATTTAAGGTTGGAGGACATCATTTATTGACTTGTGATTTTGTGTGTAGTTGTAGTTTATGGTGAGTGATAATCCAAACCCTGTATATATAGGTGGCGAAGTCCGTTCCTCCACGTGGTGCCACTGGAAACTGCCCATCTTGAAGGTGGTGCTGAGCTGAACACGGACAAAAACTGACATTAGTCTGGGGAAACAAACCTCACGACTGATGACAATTACCAATTTTGTACTAAAGTTTGAAATAAAGTCACTTTTGTCAAAAATAAGTATTTCTTCTATTTTTTAAAGGCTGATTACTGCTGATTACTGTGTGTTTCAAATCATTCAGGAACAAAAAATGACAACGTTTGGAGATTTAACATGAACCTAAGATTAGCTGGATTTAATGTCACTGAGCTGAATGTGTTTGATGTAAAAGCATACATGTGATGGAATTTCTAGCACTAATGCAGTGTAAAAAGGCTTCCCTTCCAGCCGCAACCAAGCCTTACGCTGGGAAACACCCATACACTCTCTCATTCACACACACAGACACTCTTTCAACATGGCCAATTTTGTTTATTCAATTCACTTATACTGCTTGTGTCTGCCTGGACTGTGGGGGAAACTGGAGCTCCTGGAGAAAACCCACACAAACATGAAGAGAACATGCAAACTCCACAAAGAAATGCCAACTGGTCCAGCTAGCACCTTCTTGCTGTGAGGTGACAGTGCTAACCACTGAGCCCTGGTCTGTTTGACCAGGACTTCATCCTCCAACAATAGAGTGGAGGAACTATGACGTCAATTTGTATGCAAAAACCCGGAAGCGAGTTAGCATTTTAGCAGTTCCGGTTTCCTCGTCCCAATGTCAATGGGTTTTTTCAATGGGGTTTCAGTAAAATCGCTTAAATAAGGTTCGTGGCTAACACAAACTCAAGATACTTTCACGTTTTGTTCTACAACATAAAACACATCAGTTACAGCACACTCTTGATGTTTTAAACCGGTTATGCTTCTTTAAAAAGACGGTTGCTATCAAGTTGCTAAATGGGACCACAGGCGGTGTCGGGGACGTTATACGTCATCGAGCTGAAATGATCTGGAGCGCAGCTCGCTTGTGTTGGGCATTTGGATTTGTCTGTTATTTAGGTATTTTCATGAATAGTATTTTATAGTTTGTAGTATTTTTCTAATTGGGAATTCAGATTGTGTGTAGATAATTCCTTCACTTGTAAAGACCGTCGAGACAGATTGTTTTGTTGATCTTTTATTTTAAGAAACAATATTATGAAGATACTGCTCACCAGTGCAGCCTGCCTCTGTCCTGCTCTCAGTCATGCAAATGTGTGAATAAATGTATAAAAATACATGCATGTTAACTGTCATTTTCACGTGATCAAGTGATTTTTCGTCTTTCTTTCTTCATCTGAACACTTGGTCATAACTGCAATGTTTACACTCCTCCATAAAATGTATAGCATATGTGACTGTATGGGCTGCTTTTCACTGTACTTCGTGACAAAAAAGGAATATTGAATGTTGCTCTGTGTCCATGATGGAACTTGTTCCTCACGCCTCATTTCTGTCGTCTGTTAAGGTCATGGACGGTAAGGTAAGTGGGCTGTGTGCACGCGAGTGATACAGTTGTTTAAATATGTACTATAATAATACTATGTAGGCAGATTTATACACACAGTTTTAAAACTTTTACAACAACCGTAAAGCAAAACAGATGTATTTCCCACGTAAAAACGATCCAAAAGCCACATAGGTCTATGTGTTTTGCTTATTTATTTGTTTATTATATATGCCATGGATTGAAAATATAGTAAACAGAGAGATTAACTCTTTGTCATGGACATTATTTCTAAAAAAAAAAAAAAAAAGCTTGATAAGTTGTCTGTAGCAGTGTGGTGCTGACGTCACAGACGAGCGCCCCGAGGGCACTGTAGTCCGTTTATAGCCTAATAGCTTTTCAATTCCTGCTAAGGGTGTCACGATCCTCCAAATCCTCGATTTGATTACATTTTTGATTCTAAAGTCACAGTTCGATTCTCAATTATGAATAATTAATTAATAATGAATTAATTATTTGTAGCCAACCGTTTAAACTACCTGACCTGCATGGTCTTTGTTTTACCCATAAACAAATCATACAGTAAATGTGTAAGTTACACACATAATTACCACCTGTCAATCACTTTTTTTTCTGCGGGACTCATGAATAGGCAGTGATCTGTGTCGTTATACTATCTGTGTCGTTATGCTAAGAAATGCTACACACCAGTGTGGATGTGGATCGTTGTTGTTCTAAAATGTCATTTAAAAACAAAGACCTATTAGTGTGAACCACAGACTGTGGTGTAAACAGGGCCTGAGTGTGTATTTTTCACCAGCGGATTTGCAACGGGGGCGGTGCGGAGGATCGCAATGCGCCCATCTTCTATCGGCCCAACTCTAACACTTACATAGCAGAGCTTGCAAACTGTTTTTTTGTTTGTCGACAACACGAACGTTGTCAACATAACTCACTAGAAATTCAAAATACTTCCACACCGGCGACTTCATTGAAAGAGGAGAGGGATTAAGCTCTGTCGACGAGTCTCCCGCATCTGCAGTTTAACAAGCACTTTAACGAGTGCTTTTTCCCGCTTGGCATGCCAAGCTGACGTGACATGGGGGCGTGGCAGCATCGACGATTCTATTTTTTGATTCGATAACCGAAATTGAGCATAAATTTTGATCGATTTCAGTTTAAAATTGAAAACACCCTTAATTCTTGCGTTTGTATTTAAAATCCAAAAGTGCTCAAAGTTGTATTTTCGTGTGAGGATTATCTGGCTGGACAAAACGTGCAAGTGTAATGAACAGTGTTTTAACACAGAGCTTATTATTTGCAATCTTCGAAAAGCCTATGGGAAAATCCCATAGGGATTTTCACGAGGGAACCAGTTTTATGCTAGCAGCCGATTAGCCTACAAAGTGACCTCATAGTTCCTCCACTCTATAGCACTCCCTATTTTATTCTTTAACGATCTGTTTGTCCTGCTTCTTTGTTCATTTACACAGTCAGAAGCATGTGGCCGGTCAGCATTCGCACGCTGAGACGAGCACAGGAGCGCAGACATCTAAAGTCATCTTAATGTGAGTGCTTTAATGGTCAAATAGGTGTCAAAACGCGGTGTTTAGTGATTATTCAGATTAACCCTCATTTGTGTAATAAACAAACGAGTTGAGAATCAAAAGACACGTAAAAGAGAAACCATTAAAGTGACACCGCGAAAAATTCCTGCTGCCGCCTGTTTTTATCATTAATCAAACAACAAGGAGAAAATCCCTCTCTGCTCTTGACTGAAGAATTTTCATAGCTAAAGTGTTTTTCTAAGGGTTAAAGCACAGTTTGCTTTATATTTTTATTCTATTGTATTTATTTCTCTTTCCTTTGCAGGGTGGAAAATAACTGTATGTATACTGTTGAAGTCAGAATTATTAGCAACCCTTTTCCTGCCCAATTTCTGCTCAATGGAAATAAGTTTTTTTTTTTTTTTACTTATTTCTAAACGTAATAGTTTTAATAACTCATTACTAATTACTGATGTCTTTTATCTTTGCTATTATGACAGTACATAATATTTTACTAGATATTTTTCAAAATACAAGCATTCAGATTAAAGTGCAATTCAAAGGCTTAATTAGAGTAATTAGGCAAGTCATTGTATAACAGTAGTTTCTTCTGCAGACAATCAAAAAATATATTGCTTAAGGGGGCTAAAACTATTGACCTTAAAATGGGTTTCAAAATATTTAAACCTGCTTTTATTCTAGCTAAAATAAAACAAATAAGCCTAGAAGAAAAAATATTATATTAAATACTGTTAAAACTCCTTGCTCTGTTAAACATCATTTGGGAATTTTTTTATTTTTTTTAATTCTCAGGAGTGCTAATAAGTTTGACTTCAACAGTAATCGTTTTAAATAATTGTGATTACAATTATGACCTAAATAATCGTGATTATGATTTTTCCCAAAATCGAGCAGCCCTACTATTAAGTAATAAGTATTACTCTAAGATGAATAATAGTTTTTTGTTTACCTTCATTGCTTCTGAAAATAAAAACAAGCGATGAAAATCCCTGAAGATGTCTACTGTGGATGTGGTATATGTGTCCAGTTTCTAATGTTCTCCATGCGCTTGAGTCTGCTAAAAAACAGAACAAAGAGAGAAACTTTAAACAGCTCATTCGTGTCAAACCTCAGAAGAATCCCAGCATCAGAAATAAACAGACAGTTATAACATCTCAGACTGCTGATTAACTGTGAATGACTGTTTTAAATTGATTATATAAATTTTGAGGCCATTAATACAAAATAACAGATTTAGATTCGATTACTAGAGGCTGTAATTGTATTTGCAATACCTTGCTGAATTTGAGCGTATTGTTTTATTATCCTGTACATGTTGTGAGCACACTCTTATGTTAACACTTTAAAAAAAGTGTGAATAAACTTTCTGCAATACAAATGGTCATTATTTAATTCTTTTATAATTTTCCAAAGGTTGTGCATAAAAATATATCAGTGCAGCCTGGCTGTATTCTGCAATAATTCAGTTGTTTTATTTCTGAATGACAGAGGGAAAAATGCGGCATGTAGACAGATATTTTTATGGCAGCTATCAAAACTATTTAATAAAGATTCATGGGAAATTATGTAACATCTTTTAAATATGTTTGGATTCTTACCAGATAACATATAATCACCGGCCACTTTATTAGGTACACCTGTCCAACTGCTCGTTAGTGCAAATTTCTAATCAGAAAATGCATGTAGACATGGTGTAGACGATCTGCTGCAGCTCAAACTGAGCATCAGAATGGGGAAGAAAGGGGATTTAAGTGACTTTGAACGTGGCATGGTTGTTGCTGCCAGATGGGCTGGTCTGAGTATTTCAGAAACTGCTAATCTACAGTTTTTTCATGCACAAACATATCTAGGCTTTACAGAGAATGATCTGAAAAAGAAAAAAATATCCAGTGAGGAGCAGTTCTGTGGGCACAAATGCCTCATTGATGCCAGAGGTTAGAGGAGAATGGCCAGACTGGTTCGAGCTGATAGAAAAGGCAACAGTAACTCAAATAACCACTTGTTAAAATCGAAGTGTGCAGAAGAGCATCTCTGAATGCATAACACTCGACCTTGAGGTGGATGGGTCTTATCAGGTAAGAATCCAAAGTCAGTTCATTTTCAAAATGTTTTAAAATGTTGATGTTAACATTTAAAGCCATCCGCAATCTCGCCCCTCCATATTTGCCCTCATCCACATTTCTCTTCCATCTCGCACCCTGCATTATGTTCCTACCTCCACTTGTCTATTCCCTGCTTGATAAAGCCTATAAAGAAAGACAACAACGCAAAAGAATAGCAAATAAAAGTAAAAAAACAACAAAAAAAGCAACCCAAACAGAAAAAGTGATGTTTGTTGTGTTTGATTTTGTTCAGTTACTTTCAATTATTTAGAAAAACAAATGTGCTTAATTGACCATTCTCCAATCCATAATTGACTAGTCAGACATTAGTTCTGAAATGTGTGGTTGTCAAGCTGTCAGGATTCAGACTCTTACAACATGCTTTGTTATGGTACTTTTAATGTGGAAGGTTCCCGGCTGGTTCACTTTACCACTTTGATTTTTCTGGTCTGTCTCAGTTTACCCCGAAGCTGGGGTAAGGGAGACACAAGACCACTTTTTTTTAAAAAATCATATTTTCACTTTCCTTTACCCTAAATACAGTCTGATAAAATCCATTGCTAGAAAACATTCTGAATTAATGACAAATGTTTACATTTTACTGATATATAATTTTAGCTCACCTGCAGGGGAGCAAATGTAAAAAGTGTCTCACTTTACCCCGCTCTTCCCTACTTGGGTGGTTTGTTCTTCTCTCAGTTGCATCACATTCTCCGTGTATATTTCCTCTGCATCCTATTAAACCAAGAACAGCCATGTTTAATATTATTATAATGATTTACACACTCAGACATGTGCAGAGATAAACACTAAGTTAGTGCTTCTACTCAGACTTACTAACATACTAACTTTCTACTAACTTAGATTATTTTTGTCATTTTATCATCCAATTGTATTGAATCATTTATATTTTATTGCAGTCTTTTAATTCTATTTTATTTTCTGACTGTTTTTATTGTTCTGCTTTTTTTTGCCATGTATGCCTGTTAGCGCTTTGGGACTGAGAAAAGGGCATTATAAATAAAATGTATTATTATTATTACTCTTACTAGATTTTTGGGCCAGTCTACAGTATATTCTCATTCCACAATTTTTTTTCAATACTTTATCTTTAAGTGTATTTTGAGAGCATTTTTAAGTGCCATTTCTCAAAATCCAACATGAAAAAGGGATGGACCAGGACACTGACCGAATCCACACAGGTATAATGTTTACATAACACTTCATGAAGTTATGTTTATGATACTGTTACATGAATACAATTTTAGTCATTCTTTAACAAACAGATGTAAAAAATAGAAGTTTATATTCAATTTTGTACATTAATATAAAACATAAATATTTCTTCTATTTGTTGTCAAATAACAGAACAAATAAAGAACAAATAATTTATAAAGCCAAACAGGAATCAACACATGCCGCCATTTTATTAATCTCAGCCTCACATTACTTCGGTAAGTAATTTGAAGTGTAAATGGCGTTTGATAAGGTAGATCTGCTTATTTTAATAGATATACACTATAATATCTCGTGTTTCATGTGTATACAAGCGCTTATCGCCAATAACTGACATTTGAAGTGCAAAATAAATGCCGAGACGACTCTTACCTGTTTATGTATTTAAATCGACCCTGATTAAAAAACGAATCTCAGGTTCACCACACGAACAGTAATGATTCATCAAACAGGAAATATTTACGAGTCAAACAAAGATTTCCTGAAAATTCGTTTTATTTTGCTCCCAAAACACCCGTGGAGGAAATAAACAACCGCTTGCTATTGCATTTTTCAACTCGAAGAAAAACTGAGCAAAACTGACCAATGACGTAACAGCTGACTCGTAGAACGTTGGAACGCGTTCGAATTCTTGGGAGACACACCCTACTACAATCCAACTTTCGCCATTGCTTTATTTGACGATAATCTAGTCAGTTGTACAACATTTGCTTCGTATAATTTGCTTTTTTATATTGTCAATTGATAGCATAAAGGCTCACTCTGATAAACGAGCTTTACTTACAGTAAATTTCAGTATTTATTGTAGGTTTATTTAACATTTCTCATATTTAAGTGTACAGAAATTAATCTATCATGTTATTTACCGTACTCGGAGTTATTGCTCTCTTCCTGAGAGAAAGAACCATCAAATCCACCGTCTCAGGTCAAGAAGAAAGATTCGACCGTCAGGAAGGATTGGTCACGGCACCCCCAGTGACTAACAGTGATGGTAAATAATGTTGTGTGTTATAAGAACATGTAGCTCATTTTGTATACTGGTGTCCGGGTAGGGCTCTACACTTATTTTACCTTGCTGTAAATATTATTTACAAAAGTGAATAAGGTTTTTGGTAATAATATACGAGTAATAAAAACTACTGGTGTAAACGCATAACAAATAATATCAAAACTATCAATTATCGAATAACTCCACCCTCCCCCCAGCAGATTATTTAGCTTGTTTTAAAGAAAACTCAGTTCATTTTGACATATTTCTGAAAGCAAGACACTATTTTAACTTGTCAAGAAAATGCTTCTTGATTTAATGTTTTGATATTTGCAAAAGAAACAAGACAAAAACTAAGTAAAGTATTTTGCTTTGCATTAAGTTTTTCAATTATGCATTTGTAAAGACAAAATCATTTTCTCTGCTTCAAGATGGAAGGGTTAGTTCACCCAAAAATGCAAATTCTGTAATTAAGTACTCACCCTCACGTCACTCCAAACCCGAGACCTTCCTTCATCTTCTGGACACAAATGAAGATGTTTTAGATGAACTCTGAGCACTCTCTCGTCCTGCATATACAGCAAGGTTCCTGACTTGCTCAAAGTACATATGAATACCACAAACACATCCTCAAACAGACCATATGCCTACAGTGGTTCAGTCTGTACACTATTAAGCTACAATAATACTTTTGTGTAAACAAATTTATCCAACAGTTTATTCTCTTCAGTGTTGGTATATTACATGTGTTCACAAACACTGCACTGATGGATGCCTGTGCATGGCTTCCTCTGTTTTTTGATACTTTTGGCCTTTGAATGAGTCTGGACCCTTGCTATCTATGGAGGATGAAGGAGCTCTAAGATTTCACCTAAAACATCTTAATTTGTGTTATTAAAATGAACAGAAATATTGTCTACTGCCATACAAAGTTAATAAATAAAATATTAAAACCCTCAATGTGATTTGAGTTCGACACCCCTGTTAGATGCCTTGTCTCTACTTGTTATTTGCTGTCTTCTACTGGGGGCATCTTAAAAACACTAAATCCTTTAGGAATATGTCCTAAAACACAATGCAGTGGTTTTAATGGATAACAAATGGTGATGTTTAATGTTTTAATAGTATTTGTAGTGGAAAACGTGAAATCTTTTCTCATAGGTTTTAGTTGTTTTTGCCAAGCTTAATGTTATTTTATTTATTGTTATATGATACAAAATATATCAGCTATAAGGTCATATTGACATGTATTTATACAAAACAAATTATTAATCGCAAAGTGAATTCGATTTGAACAGTAATCTCATCATGTGACATTTTTTATTTAATGGCATAATAGGCCGACCTAATTTAATGGCTGAACGGAAGATCAATATCTAGATGTCTAATATCCAGTATCTAACTATGAACTTAACAATAAATATTTGGATGATCTGATTATATATACACATTCAGCAAATTAATTAAAATCACTATGTTGGTCATAGCAAAAAACATCCTTGCATGTGCACACACTAACCAACAACTAAAAGTAGAAAGAAATAACCTTAAAAGTCACTTTATAGTTGACAGCGTTGTTTTCATATCAATAACAAACACTGGAATAATATTATTCAAGTAAAACTAAAATCTTTTGTTTCATATTATTCCTTCCTTTAGGTCGAGAAATCGGTGACTGGTGTGAAGATTCATCTTTGCATCTGGAGGAACAGATCAATGTTCAGACTGAGGAATCGTCACTGGAGGAACCTGTTGATGATCATAGTGAAGAATCATCACTGGTAGAGCCTGTCAGTGTTCACGGTGAAGAACAATCACTGGTAGAGCCTGTCAGTGTTCACGGTGAAGAATCATCACTGGTAGAGCCTGTCGGTGTTCACGGTGAAGAATCATCACTGGTAGAGCCTGTCGGTGTTCACGGTGAAGAACAATCACTGGTAGAGCCTGTCGATGGTCACAGTGAGGACTTAGCCAGCTCCTCCAGCAGTGATGATGTTCCTCCAAACATTTTCTACGCTGAGTCCAGCAGTAGTGATGACTTCCCTCAAGAGTTTTACTCAGCCGGAACCAACTGTAGTAGTGAGCTCACAGTCAGCTCCTACAGCAGCTTCTTCTCTGCTGAATCCGGCTGTGGTGATGACCCCTCTACAGATTTTCTGTCCGCTGAATCCGGCTGTGGTGATGACCCCTCTACAGATTTTCTGTCCGCTGAGTCCGGCTGTGGTGATGACCCCTCTACAGATTTTCAGTCCGCTGAGTCCGGCTGTGGTGATGACCCCTCTACAGATTTTCAGTCCGCTGAGTCTGGCTGTGGTGATGACCCCCCTCCAAATGTGGTCTCTGCTGAGCCTGGCTGTAGTCATGATGACCCTCCAAATGTGGTCTCTGCTGAGCCTGGCTGTAGTCATGAAGACCCTCCAAAGGTGGTCTCTGAAAAGCCCGGCTGTAGTCATGATGACCCTCCAAAGGTGGTCTCTGCTGAGCCCGGCTGTAGTCATGATGACCCTCCAAAGGTGGTCTCTGCAAAGCCCGGCTGTAGTCATGATGACCCTCCAAAGGTGGTCTCTGCAAAGCCCGGCTGTAGTCATGATGACCCTCCAAAGGTGGTCTCTGAAAAGCCCGGCTGTAGTCATGATGACCCTCCAAATGTGGTCTCTGCAAAGCCCGGCTGTAGTCATTACCCCCCAACAAAAGTGGTCCCTGCTAAGCCCGGCTGTAAAGCTGCCGCTCAAGGTGCAACCGGTCAGACGAAGGGCGCTGTTCCACATCAGCCAAAACAGCTGAATTATAGAAACACACACATCATGGGTAAGTTTACAGCCCAGTCACCCAACACACATGCATATTTTAATAGTGTTTTTATGACTTTTATGCTTTAAACTGGCTTTAATACACATTTTGTTCAGGGATAGCTGATAACTAAGATAGAAATATATATATATACAGTTGAAGTCAGAATTATTCGCCCCCTTTAAATAATTTTTTCTTTTTTAAGTATTTCCCAAATTATGTTTAACAGAGCAAGGACATTTTCACAGTATGTCTGATAATATTTTTTCTTCTGGAAAAAGTCTCATTTGTTTTATTTCAGCTAGAATAAAAGCAGTTTTTAATATTTTAAAAGCCATTTTAGGGACAAAATTTTTAGTCCCTTTAAGCTATATTTTTTCGATAGTCTACAGAACAAACCATCGTTATACAATAACTTGCCTAATTACCCTAACCTGCCTAGTTAACCTAATTCACCTAGTAAAAAAAATAAATAAATGTCACTTTAAGCTGTATAGAAGTGTCTTAAATATGCCAAGTCATTTTTTTTACTGTCATCATGACAAAGATAAAATAAATCAGTTATTAGAGATGAGTTATTAAAACTATTATGTTTAGAAATGTGCTGAAAAAATCAGCTCTCCGTTAAACAGAAATTGGTGGAAAAATAAACAGAGGGGCTAATAATTCAAAGGGGGTAATAATTTTGACTTCAACTGTATATATATATATATAAATCAATCATAAAAATCATAATCATCTAGGGAAGACAGAATAAAAAAGGTTTAGATGATGGGGTTATATCTGCTGTGTTGACCCCTGATGGAGCAGGTAGTTTTAGATGAAGGCAGCACTGTCACTAATTCCCACATTTGATTAACTTCTCTTCTTTGTCTTTTCACAGAGATCAACTTCAAGATGTATGAAATTGGCGCTAAGCTGGGCAAAGGAGGCTTTGGAACCGTTTACACTGGGACCCGTATAAAAGATCGCCTTCCGGTGGCATTAAAAGTGGCTGACTTCAAGGTTAAGCAATTCATCCAAGTTGTAAGTAGTCTGCGCTCTTTGCTCTGATTAACTATGTCTATTTTAAACATGTCATATTAAGGGTGCTGTATGCAAGTTTTTGACTCTTCTAAAGCACAAAAATACCATAATATGTTTGCAGATATTTTAGAAACATGCCAAGTAAACAAAAGTCAGTTATTCTCCTTTAAAAAGAAATGTGTCTGTCTGTGTTTTGATCTCTATAATCTGCCCACTGCTTTTTATGATAGACGTGGTCAACAGTTTTAACAGAAAATAACTTTCTCATCAAATAATCTGAACAACTTTCTTTCTTCTAGGATGATTTTCTCCAGCCACTTCCAGCGGAGATCGCTCTGCACTTTCTTGCCTCTAAAGGCCCCAAAGCTAAACCAATTGTTAAGCTTCTGGACTGGAAAGTGGAGGCTAATCGTTACTTACTAGTCCTAGAGCGGCCCGTACCCTGTGAGAACTTATGGGAATTTCTATGTAAATACGACGGTAGAATCCCAGAGAAGATATTATGGAAAATCATGTTCCATACAACAATTGCAGCTGACATCTGCTGCAAACGTGGAGTGCTTCACCGCGATATCAAGGCTGAGAATTTGCTGATTAACCTGCGGACCCATCAAGTCAAACTGACTGACTTTGGGTGTGGTGAACGCCTTACTAGGAGCTGTTACAAAGAGTACTGCGGTAAGTAAATCCTTCAAAGCTCTAAGGAGCTCTTGTGATGGGGCAAGGGTCATTCACATGAGACTCTTGAAACATCCGCTGTTGTTTATCCATACCAGGGGTGCCAAAGCTCAGTCCTAGAGGGCCGGTGGCCTACAGAGTTTAGCTCCAACTTGCTTCAACACACCTGACAGGAAATGTCTAATATACTTAGAAAGAGCTTGATTCGCTCGTTCAGTTGTGTTTAACTGGGGCTGGAGCTAAACTCTGCAGGACACAGATCCTCCAGAACTTGGTTTGGGCACCCCTGATCTACACTGTTGTTTGTGGAAATTTAGATGATGTGCTAATGGAAACAAAATCTCTTTCTTTCAGGCACACCACAGTACTGCCCTCCCGAGTTCAATAGCACTGGCTTATACTACGGGGAGCCAGCGACAGTGTGGTCACTCGGGATTCTTCAGTATTTGCTAATGTTCAAAAAATTTCCAGACTACCATGACCTCCAAAACTTGACTTTCACAAATTTAGGGCAATATGGATGGTCAAAAGGTGAGATCTTCACTTCAGCTAAAGATGGTTGTGTAGGACAGTTTGAATGTCAATGAAAAGTTTACAATTTAAGGCAATAATTACATGTACCTCTTCCTTTTTTCCTACACAGAATGCTGTGATTTCATTAGCTGTTGTCTGCAGACTGACTACAAACTTCGGTCTAAGCTGCAAACACTCCGTACCCATGACTGGTTTAAGGTAAGGAATACATTTCGAGGATTTTGTCATCAGTCAAATGAATCTGTCATGAGCTGAGTTTCCATCATAATGTGATGCACACCTTTTTAAAGTTTACTAAATATATATATATTTTGTAAATATAAATGTGAATTATGTGCAAATGATTTACATCAAGTTGGTCGAGCAGCTAAACTGTGGAATTGGTAACCTCGTAACCAACAGTAAACAAGGCAAGTATAATTGAGAAATATTTGCTACATCAAAGTTAATTTGACAAATGCATTTCTATCATGAACCCTTTTTCAAAAGAGTCCAAAATGACCTCAAGTGAGCATAAAAACGTTTTGGGAATTAAAGGATTTTTATTTGAAACTTGTTTCTCATGTGATACTTAAAAAGGTGCATTAACACAGGCTGATGGAAACCCAGCTATTGTCAGACAACAGTCTTGTGTTCTAAAATGTCCTTGATATTTATGGCTTTTCTTTTTATTTTATGTTGTTTGTTTAATGCATTAAAGCAAACCTGATCACTGTTTTTGTTTCAGGCGGAGAACAAGCCGCAATGAGGAGAGATGTCCTTTTTTAATAGGTGGATCTAGCCAGTCCATCCATGCCACCATAGTCCTTTAACTAAACATAACTTCATCCATTACAACCTTTGAGAGAGAAAGCTGAACATAATTTGGTTCTGCATTGTTACATCTCTCCTATTTTTCAACATTTACACTGGCTCTAATAAAAAAAAGATAAAGCACTTAACAGTTTATATAGTGTACACATCCCTTCCTTTAATATCAGATTTTGCTTTAACTCTTGCACTTCCACATGCTAAAATAAAAATTAAAAATTAAAAAAATATATACATCTCAGTCGTTCCCAGTCCAGGTCCACATATTTTGGGTGTCTCTCTCTAAAAAATGTAATTTGAGCCAGAGGAGAGAGACTCCTGACCAATGATTACTGGGATCAACTGATATATATACAGGGTTTGCAATGAACATTATCACTCACCAGCCAATTTGGCCACAAAACTAGAAAAAAAAAAAAAAAAAAATATATATATATATATATATATATTTAAAAAAAAAGTTTTAAAAAGTAAAAAAAAAAAAAAAAAAAAAAAAAAAATATATATATATATATATATATATATATATATATATATATATATAATTAAATTAAAAACTGGAATTATTTTTATAAAAATAAAAAAATAAAATAAAACAATAAAAAGAAACATCATTAATAAATAAAACAATAAAAAAACTGCCTATATTGAAGTATAAATCTATAACTAGCCATGTTATTGACCAGAAATTCTTCTAAAAACAAACAAAAAAAGATTAATTAAAAAAAAAGTAAGCTATGTAATTCATTACTCATCCTCATGTTCATCTTCAGAACTATTTTTACAATTTTTATCTTTATCTTAGAGCTCCCTCATCCAGACTCAAAGTCTACAAAAAAATCATCAAAACAGATCATATGTCTTCACATAAAACAAACATTTTTATTCAACGTTTCTTCTCCTCAGTGTGATTATAGGGCACGCGTTCACAAGCACTCTGCAGTGACATATACCCCACGGGATGCCTGCGCGACTTCCTCTCTGACTTCCTCTCTTAAAAAAATACACAGGCACATCCAAGGTTATATGTCAGAGGTGCAACATGTGAACGCGTGCCCTATACTGACACTGAGGGAAGAAATTGTTGAATAGTTAATGTTGTTTTATGTGCACATAAAAGTTTTCTCATAGTCAGGAATCTTACTGTCTATGAAGGATTAAGGAGCTCTCAGATTTGACTAAAATATCTTCATTATTTTCATTCAAATATCTTCAGTTGAGTTCTGAAGAGAAATAAAGTTACTACGTTTAGTATTTGCTTTAATATCGTCCTCATATACAACCTTCTTCAGTCTAATGTTTTGCTAATGTGGTATATGATTTAAGGTTGGAGGACATCATTTATTGACTTGTGATTTTGTGTGTAGTTGTAGTTTATGGTGAGTGATAATCCAAACCCTGTATATATAGGTGGCGAAGTCCGTTCCTCCACGTGGTGCCACTGGAAACTGCCCATCTTGAAGGTGGTGCTGAGCTGAACACGGACAAAAACTGACATTAGTCTGGGGCAACAAACCTCACGACTGATGACAATTACCAATTTTGTACTAAAGTTTGAAATAAAGTCACTTTTGTCAAAAATAAGTATTTCTTCTATTTTCTAAAGGCTGATTACTGCTGATTACTGTGTGTTTCAAATCATTCACGAACAAAAAATGACAACGTTTGTAGATTTAACATGAACCTAAGATTAGCTGGATTTAATGTCACTGAGCTGAATGTGTTTGATGTAAAAGCATACATGTGATGGAATTTCTAGCACTAATGCAGTGTAAAAAGGCTTCCCTTCCAGCCGCAACCAAGCATTACGCTGGGAAACACCCATACACTCTCTCATTCACACACACAGACACTCTTTCAACATGGCCAATTTTGTTTATTCAATTCACTTATACTGCTTGTGTCTGCCTGGACTGTGGGGGAAACTGGAGCTCCTGGAGAAAACCCACACAAACATGAAGAGAACATGCAAACTCCACAAAGAAATGCCAACTGGTCCAGCTAGCACCTTCTTGCTGTGAGGTGACAGTGCTAACCACTGAGCCCTGGTCTGTTTGACCAGGACTTCATCCTCCAACAATAGAGTGGAGGAACTATGACGTCAATTTGTATGCAAAAACCCGGAAGCGAGTTAGCATTTTAGCAGTTCCGGTTCCCTCGTCCCAATGTCAATGGGTTTTTTTCAATGGGGTTTCAGTAAAATCGCTTAAATAAGGTTTGTGGCTAACACAAACTCAAGATACTTTCACAATTTGTTCTACGACATAAAACACTTCAGTTACAGCACGCTCTTGATGTTTTAAACCGGTTATGCTTCTTTAAAAAGACGGTTGCTATCAAGTTGCTGGATGGGACTACAGGCGGTGTCGGGGACGTTATACTTCATAGAGCTGAACTGATCTGGAGCGCAGCTCGCTTGTGTTGGGCATTTGGATTTGTCTGTTATTTAGGTATTTTCATGAATAGTATTTTATAGTTTGTAGTATTTTTCTAATTGGGAATTCAGATTGTGTGTAGATAATTCCTTCACTTGTAAAGACCGTCGAGACAGATTCATTTGTTGATCTTTTATTTAATAAACAATATTATGAAGATACTGCTCACCAGTGCAGCCTGCCTCTGTCCTGCTCTCAGTCATGCAAATGTGTGAATAAATGTGTAAAAATACATGCATGTTAACTGTCATTTTCACGTGATCAAGTGATTTTTCATCTTTTTTTCTTCATCTGAACACTTGGTCATAACTGCAATGTTTACACTCCTCCATAAAATGTATAGCATATGTGACTGTATGGGCTGCTTTTCACTGTACTTCGTGACAATAAAGGAATATTGAATGTTGCTCTGTGTCCATGATGGAACTTGTTCCTCACGCCTCATTTCTGTCGTCTGTTAAGGTCATGGACGGTAAGGTAAGTGGGCTGTGTGCACGCGAGTGATACAGTTGTTTAAATATGTACTATAATAATACTATGTAGGCAGATTTATACACACAGTTTTAAAACTTTTACAACAACCGTAAAGCAAAACAGATGTATTTCCCACGTAAAAACGATCCAAAAGGCACATAGGTCTATGTGTTTTGCTTATTTATTTGTTTATTATATATACCATGGATTGAAAATATAGTAAACAGAGAGATTAACTCTTTGTCATGGACATTTTTTCTAAAAAAAAAAAAAAGCTTGATAAGTTGTCTGTAGCAGTGTGGTGCTGACGTCACAGACGAGCGCCCCGAGGGCACTGTAGTCCGTTTATAGCCTAATGGTAGCTTTTCAATTCCTGCTAAGGGTGTCACGATCCTCCAAATCCTCGATTTGATTACATTTTTGATTCTAAAGTCACAGTTAAATTCTTGATTATGAATAATTAATTAATAACGAATTAATTATTTGTAGCCAACCGTTTAAACTACCTGACCTGCATGGTCTTTGTTTTACCCATAAACAAATCAAATAGTAAATGTAAGTTACACACATAATTACCACCTGTCAATCACTTTTTTTCTGCAGGACTCGTGAATAGGCAGCTAAGAAATGCTACACACCAGTGTGGATGTGGATCGTTGTTCTTAAATGTCATTTAAAAACAAAGACCTATTAGTGTGAACAGGATCTGAGTGTGTATTTTTCGCCAGTGGATTTGCAACGGGGGCGGGGCGGAGCATCGCAATGCGCCCATCGTCTATCGGCCCAACTCTAACCGTACTTTCACACCGAAAGCGGCGAGAGCGTCAAAGTAGCCGGAAGTCATTCATTTTCAATGAGAGCCGGCGGCGATAAGCGGCGAGGAGCAGCGTGGCGCGTCTTCGCCGGCGTGAGCGTCGAGGAGAGTTGAAATGAAGTCAACT